TGGGGCTGCCACAGCTGCCGTGTCTCCAGCCCCAGCCCTGCTACTGGGACTGCTGTAAGCCCCAGCCCCAGCCCCAGCCCCGCGGGACTCCAAGCCATAAGTCCTCTTGCCACTGGGGCTCCCAGCCAGGACTCCCTGGTCCAGGAACACCCATGGTCCTGTTTTGGGCAATCCAATCTGTGCTTCATTTTCCTGGGGTTCCATTCTATTTGTATTAATTGAACAATGTGTTTTATCCATTTCTGCAATTTCAAATGTATATCAGCCCCAGCCCCAGCCCCGCGGGACTCCAAGCCATAAGTCCTCTTGCCACTGGGGCTCCCAGCCAGGACTCCCTGGTCCAGGAACACCCATGGTCCTGTTTTGGGCAATCCAATCTGTGCTTCATTTTCCTGGGGTTCCATTCTATTTGTATTAATTGAACAATGTGTTTTATCCATTTCTGCAATTTCAAATGTATATTAATTTTTGAGGTTTTTTTAATTGTTTAGGTCTTTGAATGCAGTTGGTCTTACAGTTTGATATTGTGGAACCAAATTTCCTTAGGGTTACATTAACTATGAGTTGGAGCAAAATTTGGCCTATTATACTTCCTGCTAGGAATTATAATCAAGGTATCTCACCTTGGCCTGTAACATGGGTTCTGATCCTGCAGAGGTTTACGCATACATGTTAATTTGACTGTTCTGTGCAGTGGTGTGGTCTGTCCCTGTGTCTGATTTCTGTCTATTTGGAGTTTAATGACAGATGGGGCTAAAGAGCTCTGAAGGTTTCCCTCATTTTTTAAACTAAGACGAGCCTAAAAGCTCAGCTTATACAGAAGCTTTCTCAAATGGTTAAAGGTTTGTGTCTAAGGCTAAGTTAGGCATGGACCTGATACAGTCTTAAAAGTTATAGCTAATGCAAGGAGTTTAGGCCATGTCTCTACTTGTCATGCCAGAGATCAGTCTTCTGGTGTTCGATTTAGCGGGTCTAGTAAAGACCCGCTAAATCAAACACTGAGGGCACCGCTGCCTGGTGCTAGTACTTCTCGATTAATGAGGTGTGAGGGAAGCTGACATGAGATCACCTGCTGTGAACATGGTGCCAAGCTTGGGTTAAGGTACATTGACTCCAGTGGTTTTTTTTGGTTTTTTTTTTGTTTTGTTTTGTTTTTTTAATGTAGTTGGAGTTGCATACCTTAAGCTGACTTTTCAGGTCTAGTATAAACTGGGCCTTAGTCTAAACAGCTGCTTTCTCCTGTTTGGAGGGTGCTTAATTCAGCAGAAAGTTACAATAGTTTGAATTTGCCATTGGTAATTTACATTTTTTTCAATTCTCACAGGAATGAATATTTAAAAATCATATTTTTCATATGCATTTTAAACAATCCTAAATTTTTTCTTTTCCCCTTTTTGGTATCTGAGCCCAATGGACTATAGTTCATGTAAGTTAGAGCACTGCATAGTATTTGTGTGTTCATATTCGAGTTTGAGTATAAGTTTTTTGCGAGCGAGGCTTTGGGTATGACCCACACCTCCTGATTCGCTTTCTATCTCTGTAGTGCCTTTTAATAACATGTTCTTCTTAAATATTTATAGAATATTCCACTTCATTCCTTGTTCAGACTATATGTTTTGTATTCGGTGTATACCCCACAAATATTAACTCATCCACTTAATTTCCTTTTACAACTTTGTACACTACTTCTCAGTCTTCATCGTATTCTTCCTTCAGAACTATGTAGTCTAAGTCAACCTAATTTTTTCTCACATCTAACTAGTGATTCCAATTTAGAGAATTTTTACTTTAAAATATAGAAGTTGTGAGAAATCCAAAGCCTCTCCGTCCTCTATTAAGCTTTTGCCCTGCTCCAAGTTTCCCTCTCTGCTGTACATGATTTTGACAAATACCTTGTGCTACCCTAAAGTGCCAAGTGAAAGAGGAAGAGATAGATGTGGGGGGATTTTTAATAATTAGGATATCTATTTTTATCTAAGCAACTTTTACCTATAAATGTTGACTTAGAACAGAGCTTTACTTATTCAAACACTAGATGCTTTTCATGCATGTTTTTTGATCAGTACCATTGCTGGTTTTATAATGGCCTTCCTTTGTTTCTGTCTACCATTTAAAATGTGGATGTATTCATGTACTATGAATATATAAATTTTGAACTCTGCTACTGGAACCAACTAGCAAACGTCACAAATGAGATATAAAATCTCAATTTCTTGTTACAGATTATGTATTAAGTATGCATCCAGAAGCCCTGTTCAGAGAGTCAGACCCCTGTCAGGCTTGGTGCTGTAGAAACTCATAGGATGGCACACATTCCTATCCCTAAGGAATCAGCACTTCAAAGTTTCTTCTTTTTCATCTCTACAGAAAAAAAACAACCCTTTTAACCATAATCTTTTAATACTCTGCTTCATTTTTCTATAAATGAACTTTTGTGACAGTAAATCACTTACATTCTGAAGCAGGCAATTTCATAGCTTTTACCATTAAATATAAATGGATCATTAAAGCAGTTCTTGGCACCAAATGAGTAAATGGATGTTCATGAAGAAATCAGTTAATTTTTGAGCCATTCAGCTACAAAAGTTGAGATTTTTTTTTTGTCCTCCTCTGAAATACATAGGATAATAGACACAAACTTAATACTTTTGTAACTGCATACAATACTACATTTTAATAATATTTTTAAACTGTTTATTTTTGAGATCATAATAGTGGTGTCTCTTTTCAGAAGCAATGCTGGAATACTTTCGGAAGTAAAATAAAGTTGAAAACAATAAAATTTAAAAAGTTTCCTCAGCCTTGAAACAATTTTTCTAATTCAGAATAAATTTGAAATTTATTCTTTCCATGTGCATTTAAATATGAAATCTTATTATTGCATGTTTCACTTTTTAAATGAATTTTCCATTTAATTTGTCCAAACTTTTTTTGTTAATTATTGTTTTGGCTTAATTTCTTTTAGAAACATGTCATTCAGGTTTATCAAAAGGTAGGATTTATTTATATTTAAAAAAGTGGCTCCTGCAATTAACATAAAATGTGGCTTTTTGGCCTTGGTTTTCTAAAAACTAAACTTTCTGCTGAGAACTAAATACTATCTTAATGGAAAGGAAAATATAGAAGGAAATCCATTGACTAATGATGATACTTAAGCATCTGTGGCACCTTTATAACAAGATGCAAAGCATGTCGTATGCACTCTTCTTTCTTTGATAGAGTTGGTAGTACCAAAAATAATTCTGTTCTTTATACTAATACACTTAGCATGCTTATGTTTGAAGAATGACATGTTTGGTACAGCTGAAAATGTAGACAAAATTTAAGGGTCACAAATGTGTAAAGGTAAGTGATGTTCTGTATACTTTATCCTCTAGTTTTCTTCATTAGGAAAATTCTTATCAAAATAGTGTATATTTTGTAGAGTATCCAACGCCACTTATTTCATCTGATATTGTCCAACATAATGACATGAACTGAAGCACTTAATTTATAAAATAAAAAAAAAAGCATAAACAGTGTGCAAGTGCAGTGACCAAAGAAACCAGTATTGGAAAAACTGTCCTACATGGAAAGATTTTTAAGAGCGCATGTAGAACTGATTCTTTTTGGTTTAATACTGATGTAAATTAAAAGTAATTCTGTTGAAGCTGATGGAATTTCACTGGGGTAGTTAAAGAAAAAGTCAGGCACTCTTTTTCTCAAAGTTTTGTTATGTAAACATTCTCCTAATTCCTTGGAAAGCCCTATCATCCACAAGCTTGAAGAAAAAGGTACTAACATATTCCAAAAATGAAGTGTGATAGAAATAAGAATATCTTGTAAATTACTTGCTTCTATTTTGTCTTTAGAAAATAGAATAAAAATAAGGGAAAATTGAAAAAACTTTGGGTTCCAATAACTGAATGTAGAGTAATATACTGAGGAAAAATGAAGTTTCACAATGAGAAACTAGGAAGTCACTCACTTCTGTCAGTGAAGACATCTAAAACTTTGTTAAACAGTTACAAAAGGGACAGGGACAGCTCAGCCTGTACCTGTGGGTCTCCAGGGACGAGGATCTCTGGGGCAGGATCTGGGGGCAGCACTGGATGAAGCACATGTGCAGCTCCTTTAAAAAGTCCAACCGCTCCAGATCCTGTGCCACCTTCCTGAACCCACCTCCCCTGCCACTGCCTTCCTGGAGCATGGGGAAGAAAGAGAAGACAAGAAAGTGTGCACGCTATCTTGTCTTCCTTTCCTTCCCTGTGCTGCCTGACTTCCTGCGGTATGGTGGGGGAGGGAGTCCCATGGCTGCATGCCAGATCCATTTTCTCAGGAAGCACGTGTGCTGCTCCTCCCCTCCCCAAAACAGCGGGTGTGCTTCCTAAGAAGCTGGATCTAGCGCACAGCCGCGGGACTTACACCCACCCTCACCCCCTGCTTCAGAAAGCCAGAGCTAGCTCCATTTTCACAGGAGGTTATAGCGCCAGCGTGGGCTCCTCGTTCGGGGTATGGGGAACAAGGGAGGCTGGGAACACCTCACAATCGACTGGCTGTACCCCTGCAATCGACCAGTCAATCACGATCAACTGGTTGGTGACCACAATTCTAGAGTTACCTTTGAATAAAAATGTAGCATTGTACCTGAAGCATGTATCATTTGACATTGGTTAATGCAACTGTTTCAGGTATTCTGAATGCAACTTTTTCAGGGTTTTTTTAAAAAAGAGTTTCACAACAATGCACTTCTGAATTTTCCTTTCCACTAGTCGGAATGTATGTGCTTGTGACTTCACCAAGTATGTCTGTCTCTTTTGTTACATGCGGTAGGGATTGAAATACATCTTTGCTTGTAGCATACTTTTTTTAGCCAAATTCTACCTGCCATAAATTTCATCTACTGAAATTGATTGTATTTTAACATTGGCATTTATTGTAGTTGCCAGGACTATTACAATATCACTTCTAAGAATTTGGTAAATTCTGAGTGCTAGACAGTTCATTTGTTTTTCTTAATTAATATGTTAATAGTCTATTGCATTCTGATAGGTTGTATATCTCTTATACATTATGTAACATTAACCAGATATCACATAGCACAAGTGGGCTGGATCCAGCCTGCCAAGACTTTTGATCCAGCCCACACCTGCCTCTGCAACACAGAGCAGCGCTGCTCAAAATGGCTAGCTCAGGTGTGGGCAGAAGGGCCTCTGTGGGCCAGATCCAGCCCCAAGCGAGTTGATCAGCCCACAGAAGCCCTGCCACCTTCTGCACCCAGGCCAATTAGAGCACAACATTTCCTCCGCCCTGCCAGGAGTGCGCAGTGCTTATAAGTGCCACGTGCTCCTGGCAGGGTGGGAGGAGACTTCATGTGCTTCCCCATCCCCACGACCTGATTGGCCTGGAAGCAGAAGGGGTAGCGTGTAAAGTTTCCTCCTACTGCCAGGGGCATGGGCACCAACGGGGAACCTTTGGGGGGGGGGGGGGGACAAAGACTTGACACACTGTCCCACTTCCAGACCAATCACGGTCTGTAGGTGGGGAATCAGGGAAGTATCTTGGCCCTGCCCCTTCTGCTTGAGGTCCCTCCTGGAGCCACTTCAACAATTTGTGAATTGGCCCCCAGCAAAAAATTATTGCCCACCCCTGGGCTAGCTGCTTCCTCTGGCTCTCTGCACTGCGGAGAAGAGGGAGGAAGAGGCTTCAATGTCCTTCCTCCTCTCCCATCAAAATATCTCAATAGAAGCTGAGAGATCTTGCTGCGAGCAGGGACACTCTGCAAACCCTCCCCGTCCCTAACCCTCCCTGCAGTGCAGAGAGCCACATGCATAGCCAGCCTGTAGTCCAGGGCTGCTGGCAGAGACAACTACCTGAGAGTGCTGCTGGCTGGGAACAATTTCGGTAAGTGCCTCCTGGACAGAACTTGCTCTGGCACCCTCCCAGACCCCGCACTCCCTTCTAAGCCCTTCCCCAGGCCAGAATCCTCTCCTGTACCCATACCCCCTGCTGGACCCTGCACCTAATCCCCTGGCCAGGTCACAACCCAAACCCACTTAGACTCCATCCATTTCCTTTCCCTCACAATCACTTATGGCTTTTAATCTAGCTGTGAAATATTCTTTAAACCATTTTTCTTAACGTTGAACTGGGTTTTTAACAAATCATATGTAGACAGAGAACACATGTAATGCACAAAACATAATTAATATGATGTACAGATTCGCTTCAGAATTAAGTACGAAAACTAAATTTTGTTACTGAATAATATGGAAAAATGTTGCAAAGCTTAAAAATATTATCTCAATTCTATATTGCTAAAGCTCATGGTAAAACAATCAACTTATAGGGCCTGAACCTGCTTCCATTGATACAATAGAAAAATACACAACGTCTTTACTAGAAATGGTGTCTGGCCCTTAGTTAAGAAATCCCTAAGGATAGTCTTTGCAAGAGGCCTACTCCGGACAGCGACTGTGCTACTATATACTCTGTGCTGACATAGTATGCTAGCAATAATCAGTACAGGAGCCTTCCTTAATTTTGAAATTCTTGTAGCCCCGACTTTTTCCCTCAATATTTTAAAATAAGACTGCAGTACTGAGACACTTCGAAATGTGATTCTGACCCTTCTCTTCCACCCCCACCCTCACCCTCCAAAAAAAAGTTGTTGCCAGGAGCAGTGTTCCTGATTGCCTACAACACCATTTTGTTCATATTGATTTTTCGTTTAGCTTCTTTGGTGTATACTTATGTGTAATTATTGCTATACAGAAAAAAGCAATACGTAAAACACAGTTTGAAACTCTGCATTTAATTCAAGGATTTTTGTTAATTCTCTTCCACTATCCCTTCCCATTATTGTTTATGCAACATGCATGTTGCATCCTGTCTTTATTCACATGGTAAACTCTTCAGGGTGAGTACTGTCTCTGTGTTGTTTCATTCCCAGCGTGATAGGCTTCTGATTGGGGCTTTTGAGCACTGCGGCAATATAGAATATTGCTTACCTGTAATTGCTTATCTTCACTTTATCTTTGTGTTCCTTAAATCTGTCTCGCTGCTTTCATACTATTTGTATTACAGTAGCACCTATGGATCATGAATGATCCTTATTCACAGTCCCTGGTCTGTTCAGGTTCTTATACCATTCCTTTCACAATAGCATTGTTGGAGCACCATATCCATTTTGACAGAACTATACACCATATTCATTTTTACAGAGAAGTAGTTAGCAAATATACAGTTCAAAGTAGTTAGCAAATATACAGTTCCTGCCTCAGAGTTTACAAACCCATGTTAATATACAAAATGTCACTGGGAAGTACTTAGGATTGATACACTACATATGTGACTTGAATCCACAAAATATAAACTAAAAGCCACTTGACAATACATGTGTATGCCTGTCCAAGAACAGCTCATTACTGAAACTACTATGCACCACAGTTTTAATTGTCTCCTCTCACCATTTACCAAATTCCCCTTGTCTACTATGATTGGTGAGTTAATGTGGTATATGCCCGGGGGTTGATGGGTATGGAAGAAAACCAGGTGCTTATGGGAGATTTTTCCACCTTGATTTTGTTTGCCTTGAAGGTAGCTTAAAAGTAATATTAATACTTGTCATAGTGTTAAATAACTCTTCTTCCTGTGATCTTTATATTATTTAATCTCTTTTACCCTTCTCCTTGTCTTCTGGAAGATGAATCAATGGTATAGGAATTCAGAAGAATTGATATTCAAAGGAATTTTACACATTGAGAAACTGAATTTACTTTGATTTTTTTTTCTTATGTTAACTTTAATTTATACCCTGGATTAAGGAAGGGTGGGAAAAATTAATCAGATGATTGTTTGGGTTTTTATTCATTTATTTATAATATTTATTTATGTATTTATTTATTTCAGTATATTTGATCTAAACGATGAGTGTATACATTAAAGCTGCTTTTAATACTATTTTTCTTTTACAACTTAATACTTTAATATTAATAATTAGTATATCTTTTTTACACTTATTTAATACATTTTAAATATTTCTTCAACATTTTTTTCCCACTGGAATCTTACCTTTTATCTTCATGGGTATTAGTGTAAAAATAGTATTAAAATTAATACTAAAAGTTTCTACTTTTTAGAACGTGAGGCTTGTATATACATTTTGTGTTGGTGGGCAAACATCTGTACTCTTAAGTTGGCTGTAATGTTGAAAATCATTGAATCTTTGCTTAGTGTCATAATACAGTATATTATAATTACGGTATAATTGAGATGTTGCATTTAGCAGCTATTCAGATGTTATGTATGCTAGTATAAGATTTGTCTTCTCTTTCCCACTTCCTTTGTTTCTGCATTCTTTTCAATGAGGCTCCCGACTGAATATGAGAGGAACGGGAGATATGAGGGCTCAAGGTGAGGGTAATGATTTTTGTTTAAAATGTTACTTAGGTGAGTGTGTATCTTTCTTCTCTTGTTTATATGGCTCAGGGCTCTAAGCAGCTAGTTTTGTTTCCTTTAACTCCTTGAAACTATAAACCAAGAAGCCTTCCACCCTCCTCCCCGGGAAGGCGGGCTGGCAGAAGCTGTCTGTCCCACATTCTTGATTGAATGCATTTTAACATCCCTAGTGTATATAGACTCGAGAGGGTTGCTGCAATGCAGTGCCTGAGGACTAGAGGCAAAAATGTAAAGGAACCCAAAGGGTCTTTATGCAAGAGTTTTTCAGTGTATTGTATCAGTGAATTTCAACTTGTATTGGAGGTGGCTTTGGGCTAAGTTTTTAAAATGCCTACCCATGTTACTTAAAACTGCTATCTTAATTAGGGTTCCAGACATTTCTAGAGCTTTTCTGGTGCCATATGGTCCAAGAATATTAGTGCATGTAGGGTGTCACCTTAATTGAATTATAGGTGAGTGAAAACTTGCCTTCAGCATGGTAGTAATCAGGTTTTCATCCTCCTGTCCCCATTCCATCCAGTTGTTGCTCATGCTAGTTGTGTCTTGGCTTAGTGAGACTGTAGGCTTTTGAGGTGGGAATAGTCTTACTATGTGTATAAAATATACAATGCCTAATACAACAGAGATCTGCTCCAAGTTGGAGCCCCTCTGAGTGTTTCTTTAATACAGAAATGCACAGTGACTTGGCAGTTCTGCTTCAACACAAGAGTTGAAGCTATTGATTGTCCTATTAAATAATAAATAAAATATTTTTTTTCAGTCGCAATGTAGCTGTGGATCAGAAGGATGAAAATAAGGAAGCCAAGCCCCGGTCTCTCAGATTTACTTGGAGCATGAAAACTACCAGTTCCATGGATCCTAATGATATGATGAGGGAAATTCGTAAAGTCCTGGATGCCAATAATTGTGACTATGAACAAAGAGAGCGTTTCTTGCTTTTCTGTGTCCATGGCGATGGGCATGCGGAAAATCTTGTACAGTGGGAGATGGAGGTGTGTAAACTGCCAAGACTATCACTGAATGGAGTCCGCTTTAAGCGGATATCGGGAACATCCATAGCTTTTAAAAACATTGCTTCCAAAATTGCCAATGAATTAAAGCTGTAAGAAAAAAGTAATTAAACTGTAAATTAAGTAGCTTCAAGTGTTTTTGAGAACACCGATGGAAATGTATAGAATAATATTTAGGCAATAACTTCTGCATCTTCTGAATCATGATATTAAAAAAAATGGAAAAAAGCTGCTGAGCTGGGAGGGAGAGTTGGACTTTTTTTTTATAAGTGCACTACAGCATTAAAGTTGCCTACTATGTAAAATATTACCCCTTCTGCTTTATTTCCATTGCTCCAAGTCTTTGACAACAAACTGAAACACACAGTATATGCATTTAAATATGCCTCCTGTTTGTGTGGATGTGAGAATGTACAGTATGTGTGTATAATATATTAAGTATTATGTGTAAACTATTCATTTACAACATCACAGCTGTACCAGTACCTCTTTTGGGGCTAATTTTGGTGCTAAAAATTGAAATGCCCAAGGAGGAAACACTTGAGTTAATATTTAAATAATTGAATAGTTACCCAGTAAATGCAGTTTTACAATTCACTGCTGTGTTAAGAAAGTGTGAAGGGTTTGAAGTTATGGTTGTGAACATTACTCCTGTTTAAGTAGATTTCATGAGAATTAAAATTTCACTTTTACTCAGTAAGTCTTGCATTATACTGCTCCCACTATTTATTATTTAAGTCTGAATCAAATTAAAAAATAGAATTGATCTGTGCATTGAAATTTGGGTAAATGCTTAAATTTCTCTGTTCATGTTAAACATAAGTGTAAAAATACATCCTTTTAATCTAATTTGTCTTTTATGATTAAGTAAAATGATTACCATTCAGTAAGCTCCACCATTTACTGCCACAGAATGTAAACTGCATAGTTCAACAAGAACATGTCTTGTCTTTAGTGTCTTGTCTTGAGGTAGAAATATAAAATATCTGATTCGCTGGAACTTGACTTAATGATAATTTCAGACAAAGTTCCTACTGTAGAGACTAGGCCAGAATCATCAGAAGAACAAAAGGGCTCTCAGTTAAATTGTAAAAGTTCTGGTGAGAATTACCACATGCCTGATATGCCGACTTTCTACGTTACTGCTGGATATGTTATCCTTTTCCCATGAGCTGCAAACATGCGCTCTTGTTAAAATCCAAAAGAGGAAAGCCAGGATCTGCTAATTGCTTTTCATACTTAAATGAATTTAACAGTGGTGCAAAATACCAGATTGACAGCCTTGGAAACTGAATCCTATAATGTGATTAACATAACAGCAGTGACAGCCATGGTTCAGCCCCTCCTCTGCTCCTTTCAATGTGCTTCAACACCTTTCTAGGAGGCATTACTCACATATATGGGACGATAGTTCGGTCTCTGCTCCAGAGGTGATCAGTTGAGGTGAGCTTTTTTTCTCAGACTTCTACTATATTGACCAACTCATTTCCTATAGATCAAACAGCCACCAGATGGTACCAACTCTTAGTCACTACTGACCTGGGCATGATTTGAATCAGAATCCTAACATTCCTTGATCCATTCAATCTACCTACTGATTTTTCCTTTCAGATATTCAGTTTGCTGCAGGGCATCCCCGCTGTGCGTCCAAGATACATTCCAAAAAATGTGACCATATAGGGAAATGACGTAAGGCAGGGAACTTTTTTCCAGCAGCTTACTTCCATTTGAGCGTATTGGTATTGATTTTTTTGTGTTAATTTTTTTGCATGACATAAGAGCAGGGAATTGGAGGAATGCAATGGTTACTACAAGCATCAACGAAGTTAGTGCAGAATCAACATATGCGGGGCAACATAGAAGGGACTCACTAAGGATTTGTGTAAATTATACACCATATTATTTATTTGGTTTTATTTTATATACATATAGTGTTTATGGTCCCATTCCCATGCAGCAGTTAGGCACGTACTTAACATGTTCTTTAATTCAGACTCTAAAAATTAATTTTTAAAATTACAGTGAGCTAATATAGTTCATCACTGTGTATGCAGCTTAGGCTTGACCCAAGGTGCAAATGCAGAATCCATCGGTCATGTGTTAGGTTTTGTGAACCATACTCCTGAAAACAAGACTTTCATCCCTTATACCTCTTCCTCAGTCTCTAGTGACCTTGCTCTAAGCATTGGGATAAGTATGCTATCTAAAAGATCATTAAATGCAATAAATATTCTTGAAATTATATGTATGTATATTTTGAATCATGAACTGACTTTAGAACTCTTGGATGCAAATGGAGCTCGGTGAGTATGTATGCTTGTTTTGCCACGAAAACTCCATTTTATAATAGCAATAAGAAATTACAGGACAGATGTACTTCTCAGGTGGAGATTGACATAGCCTTTCATTATGTTAAACACTACTCAAGATGTATTCTTTTCATCCAGTAGTGCACTACCTGTTGTGTTATAATTTAACTCCATCTTTAAACACTGATTGTAAATCTGTATTTGGTGGAAATTCCAAGTTTCATATTAAATGTCTCCTGCAATACTTTGTTCTATTTCACCCAGTTAGTATATAATTGTTTCTACAAAGTGCATCAGTATAATAAGTTTTAAGTATTTTTAAAAGTTTGTACTTAAATATTTTTGTCTTAAAATGTATTCAAAAAGTACTTTTAAAAATAATCTGTATTTGAGATATTGAAATTCACCAAATGACATATTTATTAGCATTAGAAACAGGTTTTTAACAGTTTCCTTGTCAAATATAATCCAAAACTGTCAATTGCAATAATATTACAAATATTTCTTGATCATAACAAACACAATGTCCTTCTTCATCCTAAAATGCAAAAGCTTGTGATTTGTTGTCTGGTTCATTGATAGGACAATCAGTGAAGGAACTACATTCTCTCTCTCTCTCTGGAAAGGGAGAGTGTGTGTGTGTGTTTTTCCGGCTGCATGACAGAATGATGTCATCAGGCTCTCTGGCTGCAATAGTGGCCAGAGAGAGGGGGGTAGGCGAGCATAACGAGCAAGAGGCACAACCACCTAGTGCTATTTTAAGAATAGACTTAATGTAAGAATATAGATTTAAATCCTGCATGGTCACGGAGATCTTTCAGCTCAGGGACTACCTGCTGGTAAGAGATGGCAGGATTGGCTCTATAGTTACTTTATCTATCAAGCATTCTCACTGTAATCAGAGTCCAAGATGTATGTAGTGATTATAATAGCAGCCCCAGCCACTTCATGAGATGTGCTTCATGCAGCTAAGAAGTGCTTTTGTAGCCACATGGGTGTCTCATTTTCAAAAAATGTGTACTGGCTCTTTACTGACTCAGTGTATACGCCTCCACCCAACTCATTGCCAGGTCTCATTCTGAAATCAAGCCTCTTTCTTCTCTTGGCATAGCAGGTAAAAATGTTCTGAGCTTTTAACTACTATATTTTGAAGTGTTATTTAAAGTAACTTAATTCAATTCAAAATATTTCTTGGCATACATGGAAACTCTAGAGTAAGTGAGAACTAATAAGCTCAAACAACCCTTTCTCTCTTAAGGTTACAATTCATTGAAGCATTTTAGAAACCAAAAAAGGAATAGACTATTGTGGCAGCCTACATCTGAGAAAATAACTGCATTTTCCTGCCCAGACATGTGTTAAGTCCTTGGACCATGTTGTGAAGGAGATGCTAAGTAATTCAGCAAAAGGGAAGTGCTAACTGTTCCTCCAAACTACAGTTTTTAAGCATGTTATACATGCCTTTGTCATCAGTGTCCTGGAAGATGACCCCTAAAAAAAGTGGCTTGGTAGGTGTGAGGTTTCTTGATTCTTTCAGCCTTCATACTAGTAGCAGTCTACACAATGAACTATTTGGGAGCCATATAGTGGAGGAGGAGGAGATGTGTGGTCTCCACTGGAGAGGGTTTTTTAACTGAAATGTTTCAAGTGTATATCTTTAAAGGCTCAAGACATTACTGTGTTATACATTGGCCTAAATGTGGTTGGAAGAATGACTACTAGGAATGTGAATACACATTTCACATATTAATGTCTAATTTTTCAAATAAATTTGTGCAGATGGTAACTTTTGATCTGCATTTTATTCTCCTGGCTGTGTGTATAATTCTCATTTCCTTAGTCTTGCTAGAGCTGTCATGGATCTTTGCAGAGGAGAACAGCTTGATTGTGTTAAAAATCACAAATATTGCCAATTTCATCACCATTTAAGACGTTATGGTAATTCAGGGAGTAGCAATAAATTATCTCTTGCTAGTTTCAATACAGTTTCTTGGAAAGCTCATTTCAAAAATCACATTCTTGTGTTCTTATACAATCAGAAAACTTAGGTTCAACACTTCACTTCAGTACATAGTGAATTTTCAGGTAGATGTTAATGGAAGAAGTAAAGACTATCCAATTTGTTGATCAGCTTTACAGTGTTCCTATCATATTAGTGTGGCTTCCCTCCCTCCCCCCTTCTTTCCAGGCATTGACACTGGACCATGTTCTTTGGATGCATTCTTGATGGATTAGGAAAAGCAAGGGCATTAAAAATGCTGCTCATAATTTGAATTGTTCTTAAATTATCTACCTCAGACTTCTAGATTTGTCCTTGTACTAAGAATAAAGTTTAAACTCAACTGAATACAGTAGGCTTTTTGCCCCAGCAAAGGTTGAGAGTAGAAGAGCAGTAGCTGTTAATACCAATCCCCATAACTATTTGTATGAAATAACTTACTGTCACTAACTGCTACCTCTGGTTAACATTTACTTTCCTAGATATGTTGAATGCAAATACTAGTTGCAGTTTGTAAGCATTTGTTTAATTTTAAAAAAAATCCTGTTGAAAATTAAAAATTGTTGTTCCTTAAGCAATTGCTGCTCTGCATTGAAGGAGCATTTTATCAGAATATTCTGTTAAAACACAGATGTAATACATGCATAGAAATTGGCAGAGTTATGGTTCTCAAAGCAACCATAACACTGAATTTCCTGACTTCGAAGTTTTTCAGTTCTGACTCACAACAATCTATTCTTCTTCTGCATTAAAGTCCATAAAATAAACATTGAAATCATGCATTTCATGTTTCAGTGCAGTTCTTAATCACACTGAATGCATTATGTGCACTTAGATGTTCTCACAAGTAATCAGATTCAAATGATCTAATCATTAAAATAATTCCACCAGTGCTTTTCAGTCTGAGATGCAAATTGAGCATCTCATTAAAGAAAATGTTGTTGTGCATATGCACAAAATGCTATTTCCAGTTGAAATTCTCGACCAATATTTTTCTATGTTACTGAGTCATTTTTCATTAAGAACTGATAAGTGATAGAAATGTAGCCGTGTTAGTCTGGTGTAGCTGAAACAAAATACAGGACTATGTAGCATTTTAAAGACTAACAAGATGGTTTATTAGATGATGAGCTTTCGTGGGCCAGACCCACTTCCTCAGATCAAATAGTGGAAGAAAATAGTCACAACCATATATACCAAAGGATACAATTTAAAAAAATGAACACATGTGAAAAGGACAAATCACATTTCAGAACAGAGGGGGGATGTAAGAACTGATAAGTTTGAGCACTGGAAAAAATATTTTTTTGAGTGCAAAAAAACCCCTCAAGTTTCCTTGTAAGTAATGAGATTTGTTTTTTCTGATTCAAAAGTAGGGAAATTACATTTAAC